GCCAGCCTGCAACGATCAGCGAAATTGTAAAAGTTGTCTACAAGTCAAGGTGCTCACCTGTTCCTCCAGAGCAATTTGCCACTTCTTTCTCTCTTCTTCCATCCTCTCATCCATTTCGGCCCAGCACTCTTCGCGCACTTCCTGCTCGATCATGAGACATGTTTCTTCGGTAGATTTCAGTCTCACATCTAATTCTGCTCTCATGATCTCTTCTTCTGCTAATCTCACGGAAAGTGCCTCATTCTCCTTCATCAGTCTGTTGATTTCGGCTAATGCTTTGTCGAGCTCTTCACTGGTTGCCATATTCGGTGTAGAGCGTCCGCTAACAGAAGATTTGCGAGGTTCAACTGTAGCAGAGAAGACAGACTCGGTCGCAGATGGAGCCCGGGGCACAGTGACTTCCCGCGCCAACGCCGAATAACGCAGGATCTGCGAAGTTGCGTTGTAGTCCCCGAGGGGATCAGCGGTTACTACCATAATTGCCTTTTGCGGGTGGCGATTGGGACCAGACGTCTGATTAGATGATGGGAATGAGTTTGAGAATAGTAGCTCGGTGAGCTTGCATTGTCTGAATGGGACCAGCGCAGTCTATGATAATTAGCAAGACAGAAGCGGACGCTCGTAAGCGTGAAAGTGAATCGTACCTTCCCCTCTTGTATCTCACTCTGCATTTGTAAGCATTGACCGAGATACATCAGACTTTCGTTGATTTTGCCCGCTTCAGCCAGGGTAGATCCAGCTGTTTTGGCGGTTCTTGCACGCTCGGAGCCTAGAAAACGGTTAGCATCTTTCCGATATGCCTTTATTTGTCACCTTACCAGCAAGATCTGCCACTGTGAGAGTGTTGCCCATCCATGTTTCTTCTCCTGTTCTCTTGTTGCGCATCCTTCTCTTAACTTCGAGGCAGAAGAATCCATGGCTTCGGGAACTGACACTGTTTGCGCCAGTACCTGTGACTTTGCGCTCAGTAAGTCCGACTTCGAGGATGGCCAGTGCCTCTTCGTAACTACTGCAGGCTATTTTGCGTAAGCCCGCGACAACCTTTCTGTCGGGAGATCCTTCAGTAGACTTGAAAAGGAGGGGTCTTCGTCTGTCCTTCTGGGTGGTTCCCCCTCGCGATACGGTACTACCTTGGCCTGGCACTATCGCTGGCGACAAGAGGTCAAAGATGCGGTCATTATAGACTTCATACATTGACACCAGTACAATATATTCAGAGTTAGGGTTCAGTTCCAATGTGAGATGGCTAACATCGGGCGAACGAGGTGGAACATTTGGCCGCTGGGGCAGATTACGGCGAGGGAAAATAATGGCAGGGGCCGGTTCCTTTAAGTGTTGAGATTGTTTAGCGCGATTCAGCTCAATCAAGGTAGGCTGAGTGTATGAAAGTGCAAGGGAAAAGCCAGGGACCATCTGTCTAGGGCTCGCTTTGATGGCGAGATTTTGGCTAAGGCGGCTCATGTGGCTCAAGATTGGGGAATATCCATTGCGTAGGCTATACACCACATTTTGGCCGCAAAAAGGACTTGGAGAGGGGACTTGAGGACGCAAAACCGAGGACCTGAGCAATTGGCGCTGGGGAGGGAAGCATACCGTCAGAGGAGTCTGAGCTCTGGAGGAGCTCATTGGGGTCTGTGCTCTAGAATTCCTACCACGATCGGCACTTTGATCTCCGTACACAGCCTCGAGAAACGTCTGTGCCGTGAATATCTGCGATTCTGACTGGTCCGACGACGCAACTGAGGACAAAAGAAGGGGATTGATAGAATTATCTGGTGGTTTGATTGTCGATGCTAACGATTTGAAAATCACATCGAGACTCATCTGGGTGAGGCCTCTTTGGGTCTTCGAGCCCAAGATGGTGTGGCTCTATACATGGCCGTCAGCACCGCTTCATATCTTGCTCCGTTTGATCCTACCTTTCCACTTCCTGTCACACCTAATGTAGCGACCAAGCCATCCCTTCCCTCAAGCAACACTCCCCGTATAATTGAATCGAGGCCCGTGTCCTCGAACACACTTAACTGAGAAGCCGACTCTTCGAAAACCTTGGTAAAGCCAAATTTCTCAACTGCCCGCTTTCTAGCATCGCTTGGTGGTTGTAAAATAATATGAGTTGCCGCTGGAGCTGGAGTCTCTTGGTCAATTTCAACGACATCTTGAGATTCTGGATACTCGACTGTTAAGCATCGTTCAACCTGGTCATCTTGCTGAGAGATGGGCGGACGAAGGCGGAGGTACACCTGAAATAGTGACGATTGAGAGGGTTTCGCTGGATTCATAGCTGCGGGTCCTTGTCTGTCGGCTGTTCACATAGGAGGAGACACGACAGCAACAAGTGGGTTAGTATCGCTGTCTCCACGTTGGCCTGGTTAGTCGGATCGTGATAACGTGAAGCAGTTGATGGGTTTCCACTTTCAGATGTCATGCTGAGGCAGTCATGCCCCTTTAGGTTAGTGTCATGTTGCCCAGGCAACTATCCTCATCAGGGGAAATGGGGTTCATGCCCCCTTCATCAGGCCAAAATCCTGCATCCCGAGGTGCAGCCCTAAGCAATACCACTTTTGTTACGTCAAACAACACACCTCATACATTGTCCACTGTCAGGGTCTGTTTTTCATGACTTCGAAACTCTCTATACGAGGTTCCGCCTCGTGATAGCCTAGTACCTCCTCTGGTCACTTACTTGGCTCAGCCCTTCTCGTATTCGTTAAGCGGAACCACAAAATAGATGGCGACTTGCGAAGTCCATGTCACCATGCATGCGCCCGGTAGCATCTTTTGATCCTCATTGACGATCCCAGACGTAATAAGCCTCCAGTGCAATTTCAGATGACAACAAGTATGGCATTTAAAATTAGCCTCATTTCCAGAAACTGTTTGGTTTGGGTAAGATAAATTGCTTAAACCAACCCAGAAAGAACGGTACCCACTAAATCCACTACCACAATTTAGATTGAGGCTGGTCTCGTGAGGATGACTGTGTCATTGGGCACTCATTGAGGCTTGTACTGAACGTGAACCAGATCCAGAAATATTTCCCCTTTCCTATTTAGGCCAGCTCGTTTTCGCTTGTGGCTCGTTGATAGCTCCTCGAAGGCCTGTTGTTGATATATAGATAGATAGCCATAACTTCTAAAACAACAATTAAGAATTTAGACTGTGTTTATCATTTTGGTTGTTTTCCAACCCGTTATCAAATATTAGTATATTTTCTCTCTCTATACGAATTTTTATATCTTCAGTGCTAGCTAAGGACTATGATCGATAAAAGATCGCCCTACCGTATGTTTCCCCCCCGACTTGCCCCCAACAACTGTTCATCGCTGACTTAACAATCACAGAGGAGGGAAGCCTCTGGTACTATGCGCCAAACAAAGGCGCCCCGATCGCTTTTGCAATTCTTTTCACATTCTCCGGTATAATGCATGGTTACCAGTGCTTGTATGTTGGACCTACTGTATCACCGAGGCTCGAGACTGATTTTATTCCTATGAAGCAAATACAAATCCTGGAAAGTAACAGGCCTACTACCTTGGTCTGCTTTACTCTTCACAGTAGGGTTTGTGATGCGTACTATTGGGGCATTCGGGCATTGGGACGATCTGGGTGTTTTCATTTCGAGCACTGTCTTCCTTTTAGCTGGGCCGTAAGTCCTCTTTACGATAAATAAGTTCTTGAAAAAGCTAACCGAGCTTCAGTCCTGTTTATGAGGGAGCCAATTTCTTCACTTTGGGCCGTATCCTATACTATATTCCTTACCATTCTCCAATACATCCTGGCCGGGTGTTCACCACATTCATTGCAATGGGTATCGTGATCGAGATCATAACAGCAAATGGAGCAGCATTGGTTGCTAATACGAGCAATCCCGAAAGCACGCAGAATACAGGAAAGGCTTTACTCAAAGCTGCCTTGATCTTGCAACTCGCATTGATGGCGGGGTTTGTTGCTCTGGCTACCAAGTTTTACTACAACTGCCATCGCGCTGGCGTTCTGAATACTAAGGTTAAGAAGGCCCTTTATGTGTTGTATTGCAGTTGTGCACTCATCACCATACGCACTATCTACCGAACTGTTGAGTATTTCACAGCTGCAAGTCTGAACACTAGCAACATCGATGATATGAGCCCTATTCTTAAGGATGAATGGTTCTTCTGGGTATTTGAGACAGTGGTTATGTTCTTTAACACTACCCTCCTCAACGTCTTCCATCCCATGCGGTGGCTTCCACGTTCAAACCGAATTTACCTTGCAACGGATGGTGTGACTGAAGTGGAGGGACCCGGTTACGAGGATCATCGGCCATTCCTACTTACCCTTTTCGATCCTTTCGATATAGTCGGTATGGTCACAAAAAAGGGAAAGAAAGAGAGGTTTTGGGAGGTTGACCAGCAGCCATCAACTAGGGTCTGAAATAGTTTATGTTTTGTTTTGCTTTGCTTTGCCTTGTTTTGTCTTGGTTTTCGTTTATTTCCCTGTGCCGTTCATCGGATACCATTCTGTATAGAGATAGCCTCGATTATGATCATGAAACTGAATTTGGAAATCGACTAGTCCGTTGGTCGTACTATTCTTTTCATATGGGGATGTTGTACTATAGTTCATGTTTAGTCCAATCAAAATGCACGGTTGGGTCTGCACGAAAAAGCTACCGAGAGCCGCGATGGAACCACATGGCCTTTTGGTACGGGCAACATTGAAGGACACCTCTCCCTTTGCCCAACCGGCGGACAACCACCCACGAGCAGCCGTCTGTTGAAAAGCGTAACACGGCTAATACATACTACTGAGCGACATTAATATCGGACGTGTTATCTCTTCATACCACCGTTACCCGCGAATATCCTCTCCTTCGAACCCCCGAAGCTTCGTCCGCCGCGAATCACAGGCACAAGCTGTTTCTCAACTCGACCGTGAACAAACAATTGAACAAGCGCCTTTATTCTCAATCTTTCGGTCATTGAATCGACCTCGTCCCTCCGAATTAGGTCGCCAAAATGTTGTCATTTCTCTCGTCGAATCTATCCAACGCCCGGCAGTCACTTGCCCAGGCACTGAACTTCGCGCTGGTGCTCTCTACTGCATTCATGATGTGGAAAGGCCTCTCCGTGTTCACCGCATCCTCCAGCCCTGTTGTAGTTGTTTTATCCGGTAGTATGGAACCGGCATTCCAAAGAGGAGATCTACTTTTCCTATGGAATCGAAGCCCGCGAGCTGAGCTAGGCGAGATCGTCGTCTACAATGTCCGGGGCAAGGACATCCCGATTGTGCATCGCGTCGTGAGAACCTTCCCAGAAATCGAAGGAAAGGCGAAGAAAGTGAAGGAGATTTCCGAGTATGTCCAGCCCTTTCTTCTCTTTGATGCATTAAGTGTCACAAGAATCTCATCACTAACGGATCACCCCTTGCCCGTCTAGGTCCTCACCGATCCCCAACAATATGCTTCTTACTAAGGGCGACAACAACATTGCTGACGATGTTGAGCTGTACGCGCGAGGCCAGGACTATCTCAATCGCGAGGAAGACATTGTTGGCAGCGTACGGGGGTATATCCCCATGGTGGGATATGTGACTATTTTGCTCAGCGAGCACCCGTGGCTTAAGACAGTCCTCCTTGGAATTATGGGATTGATGGTCATGTTACAAAGAGAGTAGTAGCACTTTTTTACCATTGGAGTTCGGCAATGAGTACTTATTTCCTGGGTGATATTGATTCAGCGTATTGTGTAGACGAGATCCTGTGCATGGATCGCGGGGGCGGGTAATTATAGCTCTAATAGTAACGCCCGATGCAACCCTGGGGCCATAGTGCACACTGCACAGCAAATAACACGGCAATAATAGTACCCAATAGTCAGAGGGGTCCACACATGCCATCCTAGCAAAATTGAACGCATAGCTTTGCCACCATGAATTGTGCGCAAAGGACTTCTTTTCAGCGGAGGGGGTGTCATAAGCGCCAACAAAAAGGGGATGAAAAGATGAAGCCTGTCCCTGCTAAATAAAGCAAACATTCAATACGCAAGGCCGCTCTGACGTCGTCCATTCATTCAACTTTCCGCCCCGCCTGATCGGCTCGGCGGCCCCGCCAACTGCTTGAGCTCGAAGGTGGATGACTCGACTTTGGACAACACACTCTCTTTAACGCTTGCGGTCCTTTCAACCCCTGCGTCAATCTTTAGTCACACGGGTTCTTTGACTGTGTATCAGTTCTGGGGTATTCTTTATTCTTCTAAACAAGATCCCCCAACTTTCATCATCTAACCCAATAGAGCTCCGTCTATTCGAGAGCTATTACCCTCTTTTTGAATTTTCCCCTCCTACATTTGCTCTTCGGGCCCTCCCAAAAAACAACCTGAAACGATGGGTAGCAAAAGAATAGCCAAGGTATGCACAAGTTTCACGTCTCGTTCTAGATAGAGCTCCCAGTGGCTATTCATCAAACAGAGGGGCTAACAATCAATCTACTAGGAATTAGCTGAGCTCACAGCGTCTCCTCCAGAGGGCATTACAGTCGAGCTAGCTAACGAGTCGGATATCTACCAATGGAAGGTTTATATGGACGGCCCAGAAGGTTCACCGTATCACGTAAGTCTTAGGAGACGGAAGAGCTCCTATCCTGCTTTGATGTTAGCGCAGTGGAACACTGACCCGTATTCCCATGAATCAGAATGGCAGATTCCTAGTCAAACTCAGTCTTCCCACTGAGTACCCCTTCAAGCCGCCATCCGTTTCGTTCGGGACCAAGATTTACCACCCCAATGTGACCAACGATGACAAGGGCAGCATGTGTCTGGGCATGTTGCGGGCTGATGAGTGGAAGCCTAGCTCCAAGATCGCAGCGGTGCTTGAGTTCGCGCGTCAGCTGCTCGTAGAGCCCATGCCTGATGATGCTGTCGAGGGCCGTATCGCAGAACAGTACAAGAATGACCGCGCACGCTATGACGAAATCGCACGGGAGTGGACCAGGAAGTATGCGATGGCATAGGGTGGTTATCTAGAAGCGCGATTACTAGACTTAACTCCGTGATGCTGCTCTCGGAGGGAGATTCGTTTGCCGGACAATATTTCATCTTTGAAAGGTGAGGTACCTGGCTGGCTTTACGTCCAAGCTGAAAATAAGAAGACACAAGAGTACATATCCGCTACTGCCATTATTTCATTCGAGCCAAAATCTCATTTGGGGGACTGTAGGGACAGGTTTGGGAGTTCTCATATTCGATGTCTGTGCCATTCATTAGCATTGCAAATCTTTTCTAGGACAGGGTCTTACCTTGCTCCGCATGTGAATACTTCAGGTTAGAGTCATAGAACCATCCAAAGAAAACAGGGGTCTTTACACAGGTTTATGTTTTCTACCCGTGAAGGGGTCAATCATAGGTACATCACCATTAGTATGGGGAGAAAATGCTGAGGATAAACGTACTACACTGCCAGTTATTTGTAGCTTGTATACCATACATGAGTCCAGTAGGCATATTGTTCGGAGTGACCGTAAGGAACACGTAGCGATCACTTACTATTGTATGTACTTCCAATTGATCCTACACTATAAAATCAGTTTTGGCTCGACTATCATAGATCAACAAATCATGTGCGATCAAACCCCGATGATCTCATAGTCGGCTTACAGAGATGGTTCAATACCATGACCAGATTACGTTAATACTGCTCAAATCAATCGACTCCGAGGCAGATCGACATGATCTACCGCAAGGGTTACTTGTCTCGGATTAAATAGAACGATATATTAAGATATCTGATTCTGACGCTTGTTTATACCCTTACGGAAGGGTGACTACCCGGGCGATGGTCCGCACAGGAAGGTCAGTGGCGATGAAATGAAGTGGATCGGATATAACCGCCGGATTTCCCTGGATGGATTACTACTAGTGGTGTGTATGCATCGAGGATGCATGCGTGACGGGGGTCGTTCGGAGAAAACACGGCCTGGTAGCCTCAACGGGCGCCTTAAGATATGCGTCTATACTGTAGGCCGCCAAGCCCAATCAATGTTTTTCTTGATGTGGAAAATTGTGGGCGAAGCTGAGTCTGATGTGCATTCCACCTCCATGATGTTTCACAACGGGCCCCAGTTACCCAGCAGTCGCTTACTTTATGGTGGGTAAGGGACCGTGGGGTGACATGTAAGTGTAGCTAGTATTCAGTGTTTGAGAGAAACGTTGGGGTCCATCATCATGGAACAATGGTTCGGAGACGACAGCGAATCCGAGATGGGGATCTAAAACACGGGGGTATAAAAAGCGCCGTTGCAATGCGTGGGAAGAACATCAGTTTGTCAGATGTATATCGAACTGGATTGTTCCCCTCATCCTTCGCAGGCCTCTATGGTGTGTGCATGCACTATTGACCTGTGTGCCTCTACTAACGATACAGATAGATTACATGGGACACGCCAAATGCCGAGAGGCAAAACCTCCAACGCTCGGTTCGTTCCCCAGAAGAACATGGGTGTCAAGTAATGTCGAGCAGATTCTGCACTCTCAGAGCTAAAAAAGCTAATAATATACCCTCGATGCAAGGTCAGAGAGTATCTAAGCGCTATCATGCCATCTTTAGTCATATCTCTGCACTGTTGTCAGGACGCTGTTGGTTTGTTGGGGTACCAGCGAATCGCCCAATGCAACTTCGACCCACCGATCTGTTGCGTTCAGGTACAATCGGAGAACATCGTCTGGTATACTACGACGCGCCCGGTAAACGCAAAAGCAAACTTAACCACAGCGTGCAGTAGTCTACGGACAGTTACTGGTTAAGCAAATCTCATTGTTCCTTTACTTATCTCCGTCTCTTTTGCGTATTCAGATTTCGATTTGCGCCTATTCCCCACCCTTTTTGATTTTGAAATTTACACCAATTCCGAGTGTTCCAGTCGAGAACACGAAAAGCCAATCTAACGAAGTGCCAAGCCGAATTAAAGAAGAAAAGAGATTGGACGGCAAATTTTCTCTTTCTGGAACTCAATTCAACAAGCCCGCGAGGAGTCAATCTACCGTTCCCCCCCTATCCAATAATAGTGATGATTGATAGACACCACTCTCAGCCGCTACGGCACGACGCAAGGGTGGCTAACGGTGAAGTGATCTCTCACAAGGGGGGAAAACCAACCGAAACAAATCCAGAGCAGCGGATTCGTGTCCTGATGTCGAGTATCGGAAAAGATCACCAAGCAGCACCACTTTCTCGAGAGTTCGGAAGGACTAGGAAGACGCCGGCGTGTTCTTGGTGGCTTCTGAGGGTGGAGCGAGATATTAGTACCAAGTATGTTAGGACGATGCTAATTATCTGAGTCTGGTTAGGATCCTTCGCGACGGAATCCGGCATTTCTCCACTTCAGAACAGGTGTGCTATTCCTGTCGGGATTGGGAAATGGATTGCGGGCCATTATATCCATAGTAATAAGATTAAGGCGGGATTCTTTAGTTCCTCCTCGCTAGTATCAATGGATGGAGTCGGGACGACGGGAGCACTCCCGTATAGTGCTAATTCACCGAATTAGTTCGGGCATCTGTGGATTGGCTTGGGAAGCCTTCCATGTGAACTGAACGTGATCAATAATGTTCGATATCGTCAATTCGAAACGAATTGCAGTTGAAACCCGTTTGATGCAGGTATGTTTTGTCTTGGACCAAAAATGCGTATACTAGTAGGGGACTTCTCTTAGCGATGCATGCAGTCTCCAGACGGAACGGAACGAACACCCCACATACGATGTATGGCTATGTATGTATGTAGATACGAGCAACTGTAAAATACATGAACACCATCTCCTCGAGTCATACAGCCTAAAGGATTGACCCCAAATCTCGATGGTTGGGGGCAGTTCCAACTTGCTGGTGGGCTGTGGGACAGAGAGGATGCATGACTGGCTGTCAATGATCCTCGTGCATATTACCTGTCATTATTATGCAGAGTAATGATCTATCATATATGAACTGACTGTGAGGATGTCTATAATGACTGATGATGTGAAGGACTCTGACCTTGCAGTGAAGACTTGGGCGTCAGAGGTGGTCAGGTGCAGCGACAGGTATTTCAACGGTGTTTGTAATCCATTGTTGACAACGGAGAAAAAAACCCATCCAAATGTACAATTCCATTATGGCATTTTTCCACCATTGGTGGTCAGCTTCAATCCCTGTTTGAAATCCCGCGTTTCGAGAGGATATACAAGGAAACGATCAATAAAACAAGGTCGTTGATATCATGCGATCGTCACTTTGAAATCGCACAGCGAATCATAGCCGATGAAAATATTAAAGGATTTTATATTGGGAAAGAAAGCCATTGGAAAAATACCACCAGGGTCCGTTTTGGTGAAACCCCATCCATACCGCGCTAAGCCTCAAACAAGCTGTTAGCTTCATTTTGTACCAAAATTCCCCTTTTTTTCATTCCCACTTGGGCGCTCCGCTTTCGCGCCCTCTCAGGTTTTTCAATCGCTCGATTCCTTTCGCTCTTGTTGCTCACAGTCTCTGTCTGTGTCTCATGAGGGATGGAGTCTCCAAGTAAACCTCTGGTAGGATCGAGAGACTTTTGATGGATTGAAACACCGGCGTGGTTAGTTGGGGCAACTTCTCCGATTTATTTTCCTTCCCTCCACTCATTCCTTTTTCCCGCATTTATTGGATCGATTGTCGGGTTAGCTTGACTGCTTTTGAGATCCCATCATTCGTTTTTGAACTACGACCATCCGAGCTCTATTTACAGCTCGCTCAGCCTTTCCTTCCCTCTGTTAATTGTGCGCCGCCTGTTCTCAACTACCTTTACATATCTGAATCGGTCCGTCAAGCGGTGAAATTCGCTTCCTATTACATTCCATTTGACCTCGTTATCGACAAATGTCCAGCGGGAACTGGGTTATCAATCGTGGCCATGGTCACAGAAAATGGAGACTTTCGGTATCCGCCGTCTCCAGGCGAACATAATACTCCCAATGGTCGTCGAGGGCCTAATCCTCTTCGTCTCAATCCTTTAAGAATCAACCCCCCCTCTCCGCCATCTTCTCGAGCGTTAACCGCCACCGCCCCACGTGCGCTTCCGCTGCCACGCTCTCCGAGAAGACCCCCTGCCATTCCGGACGATCCTTTCCTGCGCTCACCCTCACCCCAACCCGGAATGGGGGGTGATATTACCTCTCACAGGCCGGCATATCGCGTACCCGTCACTGCCAATCCAACGTTTGACCGCTTTCCCAGAGCCCCCTCTAGAGAAAGCGACTTTGATCGTCCGTCGTATCGTCGCAAGACCCCTCCTCCTCAGCCGAGGTTAAGAACATCCAAATCTACGTCGAAGCTCCATAACAGACCCCCCAAGGCCTTCCATTCCCTAGAACGCCAGTCCAACGAATCCCCACAACAGGGACTGAGCCTACCGCGCTTTTATCCTAATGGATCGACAGAGGCCAATGGGGAGGATGCTCTCCGCTCCAGTGTGAATTCCGCCATGACGTCGCGCTCCAGTGTCGGACAGGCGAGTGGAACGGAGCGAAGCAGTGTCTTGACGAAGAGTAGCTCTATCACCGATCTCTCGCCAGATACACCAGATGGACCGTATGAGAAGGACGGAGGAATGAGTGTGGAAGATGCGATTTCCATGTATCTCGATGGGTTTAGTGACGTCACAGAAGAGCCTGGGTCTCCTGACTGGCGTGGAGAGAGCAAACCAAGGCCGCTCAGTCCCCGTCCGCCAACGGAGCTGACCCTAGACGATGGGCATACTTCCGATGAGCATTCGCCCGAACTAGATGCTACCAAAGATTTGCCACCGGTGCCACCGCTCCCAGCTCTAAATCCACCCGACCAGAATACGCTGGATGAGCAGTTCTTGGGCGACACGCAATTGAATGAAAAACAATTCAGCGAGCCCCTAGACCAGGCCACACCGGATCGGCCAGCTGATACAAGTCCACTAGAGACGAAGATTTTCATTCCCGGTACCGTGCCGCCTCCGTTTGTGAAGCCTACCGAGACCAGGGACCAGTATGGATTTCGGAAGGCCAGTCACCATGTCACATTACAACAGTACGAGGCCTGGAGTCGCCCATATGCAGCTTTTGCTAGGAGTCGGAGAAATAAATGGTCAGAGTTGCTGAAGGAGCATGGACTGCCCACCACCGAACCGAGGACTTTCCCGCCAAAATCGAACAAGATCAAGCGTCTTGTCCGCAGAGGCATTCCTCCCGAGTACAGAGGGGCTGCTTGGTTCTTTTATGCGGGTGGCTACGAGCACTTGAATCGTAATCCCGGACTATATGATCAGCTTGTCAACCAGGCTATGGAAAGCCCAAGCAACGATGACAAAGAGCATATCGAGCGAGACTTACACCGCACTTTCCCGGATAATATCCACTTCAAGCCCGAATCTACTGACGGGATCGGGACTTCAGGCGCTAGCTCTGGTAGCAGCAACCTGAAGCATGGCTCAGTCACTGTCGAGACGCAAATGATTCAATCGCTCCGGCGCGTGCTCTATGCCTTTGCGTTGCACAGCCCCCAAGTCGGCTACACGCAATCACTCAACTTCATCACAGGCCTGCTCCTCCTGTTCCTCCCAGAAGAGAAGGCGTTTTGGATGCTGCATATCATCACTTCTGTTTACCTCCCCGGCACGCACGAGATCAGTCTCGAAGGGGCTAATATTGACCTATGGATCCTTATGGTCCTCTTGAAAGACTCAACCCCACTAATTTACAACAAGATCACGGGTTCCGCTCCCGGCAAATCCAAGACACCTCCGTTAACGGTCGACTCGCGGTTACCGGACATTACACTAGGCTTGACCAATTGGCTCATGTCATTGTACATTGGGACTGTGCCGTTGGAGACGACCTTGCGCATCTGGGATGTCTTTTTCTACGAAGGATCGAAGACATTCTTCCGAGCTTCGCTAGCCATTTTCAAGGCTTGCGAGAGGGACATCCTCGCCGTATCCGACCCCATGGAGGTTTTCCAGGTAGTCCAAACGGTCCCCAAAAGGCTACTAGATGCCAATAATCTACTGGATGAATGCTTCGTGCGGCGCCACCGAGTGGGACAGGGCCGCATTGAGGAGCTAAGAGCATCTCGACGGACGGCCGTTCGGCAAGAGAAGATGCGACGGTCGAAAGCTTTGAGCAAGGGATACCTTCAAGCCGCCACGGATGAATGGCCGACGACACGATCGCGGACGCCGGTTCCTGGGGTTGAGCGCAGCATTGCCGATGGATGGCGTCATATGAAAGATGCGTTCCGGTGAAGGTCTCGCCGTTGCTTTGTAACGAAATCGTTTTTATTGATACCCGAGAAAACCATGCCTTGTTCCGATACTATTTGGTACTCTACGTCATCTGTTGTGTTCTTTTGTCCCATCATCCTCGCGCACGGTCGTCTCCGGACGCGAAAAGTGCTTGCGAATTTCGCCGACGCATCTCATATTCTGTAATGTTTACACCTGTAATTTCGCTCACTGATTGACGCATTTTGACGGCCAGCTGCCGGGCGTTCGTTGTGGAGTTTTATCTGTGGTCGGATATCTGATTCTTGGGTCTGACATTGCCAGCGCATGGAACTGCGCTGGTGAACTGCCATGGATCTCTTGATCGTGAAATGGACAGACCATGTTCGTGATGATCTTTCTATGTATGTATTGTGCATATGTTGCATGAGCGCCTTTTTTTTCTTTTCTCTTTCCTCAACATCTTGTGTGGCACTACTTTCAATAAGAATTCTGATACCACTGTTAGTTACTATTCATGTACATAGATTCGAACAATGATCGATCAATTGAAGAGTTTACCAAAGTTGATAATAACAAATTAAACTAATTAAATTAAATGAAGAGATTTCAGGGAACGATAGAGTTGTAGCGGTGGTACACTATGGCGGACTATCGGACGCTAACGAGTAGGGCTGAGGAAGGCTGATCGCTTGGATTTTCTTGGGTTTTCTTGGAACTTCTCCGATGCAACCTCGTCATTGGCTCGCATTTGTTCGCGCGAAATCATCATGACGCGAAGGAAACCCTTGAAGGCAGTTGGTTGGGTCGTCCATTTCTTGGACATGGAGCCCTGAATTTCAGCGACCGCATGCGGAAGGGCTGCGGGTTTGGTGCAGGCAAGGCACGGCAAGGGGGAAGATTGTCTGTGTGCCTGTGCGGTTTCCTCCTTCTTTTACTCTTCCCCCCCCCTCGTGCTTCCCCCAACCTTTGTCCGTTCCCGGCAGTTGGTGATCTTTTCAAAGCAGCCATGAGCGGTCAAGCGGCCAGTTACTATAACCAAAACGAAAGCTTTGGTGGAGGCCAGCCTCCACCTCCGCCTCAGCAGCAGCCTTTCTACAACAACAACCTCAATAATGGCAACTATCAATACTCCGACCCCAACTATCAAAGGGGTCCCGAGCCCAAGCCGCCACACGAAGCGCCGCCGACCTATAACCAAGCCGTCTATGGTTTTGCCGATGCCTTCAAGATTGAGAAGCCCAAGTTTAACGATATCTGGGCTGGTCTTTTGGTACGTCTTCCTTTTGATTCCCTACCACGTCTCTGGATATCTGGATATCGGGATATCGCATAATCTTTGTTGCTGCCTATGATGAGAGAGTCGAGACTAACCCGTATTACAGCTCATCGCGGTGTTCCTGGGATATGTTGCAGTATCTGGCGTAGCCATCCACCGATACGCGAAATACAAGGGTTTCAATGGCGGCGGCATCTATGATTCGTCCAACACCTTCTCGCTTGACACCAACACCCTGGTGTTGTTTATTTTTGTACTTTGCGTGGCACTCGTCTTCTCGTGGGCCTACTTCCTCGGAGCTCGCTATTTTCCCAAACTCATTATCTGGGTTACAGGGATTCTGAACATTGTGTCCGCTCTAGCCACTGCGATTTACTATCTGGCGAAGAAGCAATATGGTGGAGGGATTGTGTTCCTCATCTTTGGCGTCTTTGCCATCATTTGTTTCATCAGTTGGATCCCGCGCATTCCCTTCACGGCATTCATGTTGGAAACCTCCATCGATGTTTCCAGAAAGCATGGACACATGTTTCTCGTCAGCGCCATTGGAGGTATCGTCGCAGTGGCTTTTGGAGCTTGGTTCTCTGTAACCCTCGTCTCGATCTATGTTGCCTTCGAACCCAATGGCAGTGGGGTTAACCCGGCTTGTCGTGACGGCGGGTGCAGCACGGGCAGAGTGATTGGTCTGGTCGTCTACGTGACGTTCGCCATGTATTGGTTCAGCGAATGGCTGAAGAACACCGTCCACACGACCATCGCTGGAGTCTACGGAACCTGGTACTTCTGGAGCAACTCACCAAACGGCATGCCGAAGGGAGCCACTCGTGGCGCCTTTAAGCGCGCCACCACCTACTCGTTCGGCAGCATCAGTTTCGGCAGCTTGATCATTGCCCTCATCAACATGCTCCGACAGGCGTGCTCAGTGGCACAGCGCCAGGAGGCGGCAGAAGGGAACCTACTGGGAACCATCGCATTCTGGATTCTGGGGTGCTTCATTTCCATGCTGGATTGGCTGGTTACCTTTTTCAACCGTTACGCCTTCTGCCACATTGCCCTGTATGGCAAGCCATACATCGAGTCTGCGAAGGATACATGGACCATGATGAAAGACCGGGGTGTGGACGCGCTCGTGACCGACTGTCTTATCGGACCCGTCTTAACCATGGGGTCGGTCTTTGTGTCGTATATCTGCGCCTTGCTGGCGTATCTGTACCTCCAGTATACCCACCCGGCCTACAACAGCGGCGGCGAATTCACGGCCGTGATCATGGCATTCTCTTTCGTGATCGGCCTGCAGGTCTGCCAGATCTTTATGACACCAGTCGGCAGCGGAATCGAGACGATTTTCGCCGCCATGGCATGGGATCCGCAGGTGATGGTCCAAAGCCACCCGGACCTATGGTACCGTCTGGTCAACCTTTACCCTAAGGTTCAACAGGCGGTTCACGTATAATTCAACTCGCTCTGCGAACACAACAAGCTTGCACTACCCTCTTTCCTGAATCCTGTATGCTCTACATAAAGATTGTTAAGACTCAACGAAGTTAATGGCATGAGGAACGACCGCGAACGTTATCTAGCCCTAATAAATACTCAACCAAGACTATATCAAGCACTAATCTAAGCTACATCAATATCATAATGAACAATCATCTCTTCATGAAACACCTAGCCCATAACCACAATCCAGCCACAACTCTAGAGAACCAACCAAGCTCCCAGCAAGCCCGAAAGTCCCACCATAGCAAGCCCAGGCACCATCTTCTCCGACGCGGCGCCCTGGAACGTCTGGAACTGCTCCGGCCGACCACTGGGCGTACCACTGGGCGCACCGCTCCCCAGAGGATCAGCCCCACTCGGCACAGCCGCCTGCGTACCGAACAATGCATGCGATGGAGTCGCACTGGATGCAGGGCCATGCACCCACCCACTGGACGCAGTGGTAGGCGTAGCCTTCGCGCTGGATGCGTGTCCGAACACTGTGGACCAGGCTCCGGGCGTAGTGTGCGCGTTTTCACTAGATGCTGGACCGAATACCCGTACGCTTGATCCAGAAGGAGTGCTCTCAGCACCATAGACTGTCTCGCTGGATGCTGCAGCGACAGGCGTGGCTTCCGAGTTGGCGCTAGATGCGGGTCCGAACACTCGCACACTAGACTCAGCTGCGGGTGTGGCCTTAGCAATCTCACTAGATTCAGCCGCAGGTGCACCCCTCACGGTCTCGCTAGGAGCAGGACGGATGACTCCCTGGCTAGAGGCAGCGACCGGTGTAGCCTCCGAGTTTGCGCTAGATGCTGGACCGAATACTCGGACACTAGACTCGGCGACAGGCGTCGCCTTCGCTGCCTCACTGGATGGGCGGCCGAAGACTCCCTCACTAGACGCAGCCGCCGGGATACTATCTACATTCGGACTGAACGCAGGCGCAAACACTCGCACGCTCGACTCCGGCGAAGGAGTCGCAGCACTCGCCCCTTTAGACGAATACACTGAAACAGGACCATGAGCAGCCGCAGACGAAGTCCTGACCGTGTTACTAGTCGCAGGACCAAACACCCCGGAGCTAGACTCCACAGCAGGCACATTGGCACTCGAGGCAGGACCGAACACCCTAACACTAGACTCAGACTCAGTTGCGGGTGTAGCTTCATCACTTCCACTGGGCTCGGACTCAGCTGCGGGTGTAGCCTCGTCGCTTCCACTAGACTCATCCGCAGACGGATTCTCCGCCCAAGGACTCGGCACAACACCCACGCTCGACCACGAACTAGAACCAGAACTAGGGCGGGAGCTCTCCCCGTAAGCTACCTGGCTGCTGAGCGGGACGTGTCCTGCCCACGGCACCGACGAGGCAGACGCTGACGCCTTGTTCGTCTCGCAGTTGCAGGTTGTGCTTGTCTCGGTGATAAGCTCGGTGACGACGCGGGGGTCGTCGGTTGGGGTCGGGGTTGGTGTGAGCTGCTGGTCGGGCTCGTCGACTCGCATCATGGGATGGCTGGCTCGCATGGGCAGATTGAGGTTGTTGGTTCGTTGGGTTGGGAGGGGCATTATATTCTGTTGTATTTTTGTTAGTTGCCTTTGCTATATGGATAGGATGGGATGGGATGGGATGGTATTCACACACACACCTTGTACTGAGGGCTACTAGGACCCTGGGGCACCGCTGTTGCGAGGTTGGCCGCGAGGGCGGCCATGAAGAGGTGAGGAGCTCGCATGTTTCGTTGCAATCAATCAATCAATCACGATTATCTTGATAGCTTATAGTGATATATAAAGAAAAAGGAGATCTCCCTCAAACAAGGTGTATGATCTATACAGACAAGTCAAGAATAAACCCAAGACCAGAACCACCAGAGTAGAAATCACCTAATATATACCCCCAACCCCCCACTCACACACACCCACAAATCTATCCATACATACATACATACATCCTACATTCAAAAACCAGCTATACGTAGCACCTAGCAACACGCTCTCCAGAGTAACGAACCAAACTTCGAAAGATGTGTGGCCCGCATCCCTTGCCAAGGGCAAAAGGATCGGATGTGCGGTTCGGTATGTGACTGCTGTCCGGGCTACGTTTGAAAGTATAGGACGAAGTATTACTACGCAGTAGGAGGGTGAGGGCATGGGGGTCTTTGAAACGCGTGGTGCGGACATGCCGATGATGCGTTGGAATGTTGAGGGTTATTTTTATCGGTGCGTTAGGGGTTATTGCTGTTGCTGTTGCTGATCTCGTATTTGCTTGAGTGGATTTGTTTATCTAGCGTAGTTGCTTCCATGTGTTTTGGTATTCTCCTTTAGTAGGTATAATACTAATTAGGGATATGAAGGTTCCTGAGTCGGTCTTGGTTGCTGTTCGTGATATTGATATGGCTAGGTACGGTGAGGGGTTCCTGTGTCTAGCAGTTCTCGCATTCTTCAGGAAGTCTCCCGATTCAGAAACCCCCCGGATGTGAGCATGAGCGCGAAGAAGATCTGCGATGGAGAGTTGGTTTCATTACATGATTGGACCAGACAGCCATGGAATGTGGCACAATATCGCCGAAGTATGTATAATCCAGCTCCTCTTATGACGAGGGAGTTTTTTTCCGAAAGGCCGCGAGATATTCATGATTCATTCGAAGGTATGTTGCGAAGCAAGACTACAAAAGAAGTATATATAAGTGTAAACAATATAAGCAATACGCTAGGGAAATCGTAAGCATTCTCGTCGTCGTCCCGTCCCATCTCAACGCCACAAGCATTTAATCTCGATCATGAATCATTAAGCTTTCACGCTGGTGGCACACCGGGTGGTATTGACCAGCAACCAGGCGATTATCTTTACCAGCATGGTTAGTACGCGCACAAGAAGATCCAGCCCCCAGAAGAGCATGCGTAAGCATCCCCGCGTCAAGCCCGGGAGCTTCTGTCCCGCCCGCGAGGAGCCGTCGCCGTAGCGTCCATACTTCTCTAGGTCGAATTCCTCGACCATGATTTTCTTGGTCTTGGGCTTTGCGGGCTTCGGTGGGCCCCAGAAATGGAACCATTTTCTCTGGGTGGAGTCGGCGCATTGCGATCTTGCGGATCGGATCTTGGACATCAGTTGCATGCCTTCCTTGGCGTCCTCGTGCTCGGCGTGGCTTTTTATGTTGCTATCTGCGGATGATCGTTTGGATAGTGCTTCCTTGGTTGGGTCGTAGAGCTCCATGTCTGTGAGGACGGTGTTTGTGGACTCGTCCGAGACGGCAACGGCCAGCATTGCCGTGACAAGGGAGTCTATTGCATACAACGATGGGACTGTGGCGATAATGGCAGCCGCGGAAATAGAGAGGGTCAGCGTGCACAGATCCAGTGATGCTAGGGGTTCGTCAGCATCGGTCAAAGGGAGGGTCGACGTCCGAGGCGTGGCGGCCATGTTGGCGCCTTCAACCGCATTGGCCGACATTGGAGTAGTCACAAGAATTGTTGGAGGTTGTCTAGAATCTGATTCTTTCGACGGCGTCGAAACAGAGATGTGAAGGAGTCCGGAATACATTGACCTCACGGGAGATAATGGGATACCTGCCGCACCGACAAGGGCTGGAGGTGGGAGTTTGGTAAGCGATGGATGATGCAGCTCATACAGTTGCTTGGCATTGTTCCACGATAACCTGCAAGATTCTTGTGCTGCAGCTCGCTTCAAAGCTTTCCCTTCTGCTTCTGCAGCTTCTAAGGGACCCAGATGGCGCTTTCTAGCTAGTACTTCCGCTTCGTCAATGGCCAGCATTGCAGCCAGACGGGAGAAGAGGATGGACACAAGTCCGTCATTTGGGGGTTCGCGCCGGCGGTCTTCAAGTTTTAGCATCATGATAGGAATGCTACTATTTGGCTTGGATGGATTGGTCCTGGTGATGGATAGTTCGTTGGTCGAATATGTCTGCATCTTATAGAATGGCGCATGGGGGTCGCCAAACGTGTATGTTTCAGCTTCCGTCCTGGTTGAGCTATTAGCACCTTTCTCGGAAAGAGAGGATACGTATTTACTTACCGTGCCACACGCAAATTGAAGTTTCCGGCTAGGTCTTGCGGACGCTGGCCATTGGCTGCTTCCCAAAGACTCCTAAGCTCGGTAGTGGACGAGTATTGTATCTCGACTTGATCGAGAACACCTGCTGGAAAGTTCATCACGCTTGCGGGGACGGTCTTTGGCCCAAGAGCACGGTCAATCTCTGGCGGTGGTGTGAAGGGGAGCTCCTTGGGCCTATGTGTTCGCGTATTGGTGGAGAGTTGGGGATAGTATTGTTGCTGGCTGAGAGGCACATTGGGATTATACTGAGGGAATATGGACCTCATAGGAATGACAGGTGAGCTGTAGGCCCCAGAAGCTCCCTGAGCCAGTGGGGAAGCTACATGGTTGTTTCTGCTCCCCGTCGGGGACGCCTGACTGACATTACTCGCCGGCGAACCCCATTGACTTTTTGTGTTATCTTTTGGGCTCTTGCTAAAAAGCGACTCAGGCGTCCTCAGTTCCTGTACAGTCTCTGGTATGGATACAGGCGTCGACCGAGGGGGTTTCGCTTTCTTCGCGGCCTTCATGCTATTCGCGTCGTCAACGATTTGGAAAAGCAGCGCCTCTGTCTTGATATCTTTGCCATTGAGATCATTCAGAGGGATTGAACCCCTAGGTTGTGTGCCCGTGTCTCTTTGGTTCTCCAGGCGAAAGGGGTTCGTGGAAGCCTTGGTTCTTGACGGCGATGGAAAGAGTTGAAACTGACTCATTGTGCAGATCCAAAGATGATCGTCAGAGGGGTATAAGTATTGACTCTTGAAGAAAAGTGGAGAAACAACAATATACAGGTGTCTATATGCAATCCGCAATCGTGTCAATGTTCACGACGATGCACAAGATTGATCACAACACCGATAATCTCAACACTCCAATTCTGATGAAATGCCAAAGAGACTTGATAATGAAAAGGTCCAAGTATTGAACCATGAAGGTATAGAATGCCATCTTGATCAGTGGGATCCAGTGTGACATATACCCCTCCCTCGTGGAGAAGAACCCTTGCTGCAGCATAGCGCCGAAAGCTAGTTAAGCTCAGCGTCAAGGATCTGAACTATGAGAGGTTCCCACTAGTGTGAAAGATGGACATTGTTATGCATGACTGCCGAATTGCCATGGCCGGCGCTTAATCTCGACCTCCCGGGTCCGATGATAGGCTGAAGCCTGAGCGCAAAGACCAGGGTGACATCAATCGCGGCGCTTCGAGGATTAAACCCTGGGATGTGATTTGCGGCGATCCTGACGCTCCAGAGCCAAACACAGCTAGTGCTATGCTGCAGTTAGTGTGAAGAAGTCGGAACAGGGGGATACGGTGTGAGCCGCCAGCAGCTGGTTGGCTCTTGTATTCAATACTTTCTATGACTGGTGGGTTTTCTAGAAGTTTATCGCCTGAGAGAAACAAATAGGGGTCAATTGTTTCTGTTAAATTGTGATACGGTGGCTGTGTCGCTCTGAGAGGAGGAGGAAAAGCGGTTAAGGTTGTGAACAAGGATGTGATGAAGTGATCGAGGCAAACCTTCTACATCCTCGCTTGACCCTTTAGGAAGAGATATGCGCCCACACTATCTACCACAAAAAATCTATATCGCTACTTCAGTTGAAATGGATGAATCCTGCGTGTCTATAACCGCTCTAATTCGCGAAGGCACGGTCATTCGGTGATGCCATTCTGAAACGTTCATCATACCGGAGTAGAGTGTGTATTCAGTCAGTTAACATCTAATATCTAAGACCCAAAAATGGTAACTTCCGGAGTATCTGAGTCGTCTCATGCTCATAGCCTAGAAGGTCATCAACAATATCATACAAACACCCAATCAGGACCTCCAAGGAGTGAACAACGGGAGTATATAAAACAGTACACAGAATAATGCTACTTCCCAGTCAAGACAGACCGGACCCCGTCTGCAAACAATAACTTGGCATATATGAAGTGAAACTTTTCAAGATACCCCGCTACTGACGGGGTGTCCTTGGTCGGATTACATATAAACTGCTGCAAGCTGATCTCAGGCTGCGGTGACCGAGTGACCTGGACTCGGTGACATCCTGCGAATCTAGACCGATCCGAGCCAAATCCATAGTCGACGTAGCTAGGCTCCATTCCTGAAGCTTTAGATATATGCATGTCTATCAGCTTGAAGGAGCCAAAGAAGCGGCTGCCAAGTGGTAAGAGGTTGGTGCTTGGGATCTTAGTGTAGTTCCAGATGGCCATTGCCGCCGGGGCATCTTCAAAATCTAATACATATTTGAGTGCCCAATGTCTTATTGAGATCCAACTTATGATACAACAAGCCATGGAGGAACGCGTGCTTACTTGAAAACTGTGCCGAGAGCAATTTCCATCCCCCAGCTCTGAGGATTAACCTTTCGCAAGCAAAGACATATCCGCCAAAGAAACCGGTGGTGAACAACGACAATACTTCCTCGTCGCTTAGTCTTGCGATGTCTGATTCTAGGAGTCTTTGTGTCACACAATCTGTGGTGGTTATGACATTGTGGCGTGGATTGACGAAGTTGAACGAGGAGGAGCGTAGAAATCCAGCGTTAACTGGATAGTCTCTGTGAGATTGGCGGAGGGATTCAAAGAATGGACCCCGAGACAGGGTGCGAAACCAATTGATCGACATGACTAGATGGGCGCTGTATAGCCTAAATTTTCCAATGTTCAGATGAAAGGAAATACAGAGAATTTCAAGAGGCCTCACGGTTTCGGGCCGAAAGAGTTATGATGACTCAATCGTATACGAGCGCTAACTGCTTACACTCCATATCTTAGATTTGCTACTTGAACTGAAAGGGCCTTGCTTCGGATTGATTTTGAACAACAAGCGTCGCTACTAGGATATAGTACAATACTAGATTTTCCCCAACGAGTGGTCAAATTCAGGGTATGAATCTCGAGTCCCATTTTCATAGTGCTCATAGAATAAAGCCCATGCTATATACTTGCTGGATTCATTTCTGCCGAGCCAACTGAGCTTGAAAATCTATCGATGTCTTGAAAAGGCATAGTAGAGCTGAATGGCCAGCTTAGCGCCGTAGAGGATATAGTAGGTGGGAATGTGGGCAGCTTGACAATATGGACGGCTTGCCATGGCCAAAGAAGGCATGGTACTAAAGGGAACGCATAACTTTCAGATAATAGCACCGTTGCTTTAAACAACTGGGAAGGGTATATGTAAATAACTGTTTATGTCGCATAGAAGTACACTGTATGTTGGGGGTCCGTATGCAAAAGATGTCTAGAAGATAATATACAGTTAGTTGCCACTTGGACGATCATGCTCCATGGCTTCCTCATGGACTGAATATGTGAGCGCGTCAGCCATCGCAATGGCGCCATCCATATTTCCTTTGTTATACAAAAATAAGCCCTGCAGGGCGGCCGCACTTGTAGCCTTCGGTTGGTCGGGCTGCCGGCCGTTTTCGTCTTCTATTAAACCAAGCTCGTGTAGTCGGTCGAGGAATGTCTTTCGATACTTTCCATCTGTATCCAACTCACTATAAAATCGATCCCAGAGACATGCAACCTGGTAGCGGGTGACCTCGCCCAAACGAACCGTCATATCTACCCGGCCAGGCCGAACCAGAGCTGGGTCTAGCCGCTCCACATGGTTCGTCGTCAGGAATATCACGCGTTCTTCAGCACTTGCAACTCCGTCCATGGCATTCAGCAGACCGGAGAACGTAACGTTAGCACCGCGGTACCCATCGGCGTCAGACTGAACTCGCCGATTGGAGAAGGCGGCATCTACGTCCTCGAGCAGAACAAGTGTGCGGTTAGGGACAATGGTGAGAAGATGATTCAACCGATCATCCGTCAATCCCCGTTCACTAAGGTTGAGAATGGCAATATCGTAGTCTAGTTCACCCGCCAAAGCCTGGATAAAGGAGCTTTTTCCCGTGCCTGGCGGCCCGTAGAGCAGATAGCCCCGTCGGTACGGAATTCCACGATCATGGTACCATTTCCCGCTAGATAGAAAGTCTTTGACATCGTCCACAATCCGTTCCTTGACACCCTCATCAAGAATGACTGATTCCAAAGGGCGCTTCCGTCGCGGTTGTCCAAACAGTTTCCATTCAGTCCCCCAGCTGTTGTAGATTGATGTTTTGCCTTCATGTGATTTAGCTGCGAATGCGTGAGCCTCTCTGAAGAGATCTTCAAAAACATGGCGATGCGAATAGAGAGTGGTCAGGGTAATCGTCTCCCACGGGCGACCAGTCTGAAGGTCGAGTGACTTCGACTCGCGCATCCGATTTACAAAAATAAACGCATTCTTGTAGCGCAAAACATGTCTCCCTGGGCCAGGCACTAACGAAAAATGTGTATGTATCGCACCGTTTGAGTGTTCGACTTTCTGCGTTTGGATTGAGAGGTGGCGCATCCCGGGGGTCATTCTCTGGAGTAAGGATTCCATAAAGCCAGACCTGCTGGCTGCCGACTGAGCCGAATTGAGCTGCGAACGTTGATATAGAGTCATCCAGTGAAGAAACCAGGGATATGAATCGTCCTTTACGCTGATTTCCACATCCACAAGCATGCGCCTTCGCAGGAGTGCAGCGCCATGTCGAATGCCCTTCTGAGCGAAACTCAATCCAGCACCCAAACCGGCGAGACCGAAGCCCTAATAGTTCCAGAATCAATTAGATCAACCGCTTCTTGAATACGTATCACAATGTGGCCCAAACCGTCTTACCGCTGTGAAGAAAGGATTGCTAGATAGCTGGGCGAAAAGCCCGCCATCTCCGGTGGGCTGTGCGGCCGCCTGGATAGCATCTTTCTTCTGCTGCAGGATTAAGTCGCCAGGCGAAGGCAGCCCCGGTGTACTTGGTGGTCCATTCGGGTCCATGCCAACCGAGGGAAAATTGAATACTAGAGCTGGCAGTCAATCCAACACTTTCTTCGGGCAATCAAGTGATTGTTCCGAATGATATCGGAGGCCCGGAAGTACAACGGGCCGATTCTTCGATAACCCCATTGGGCAACGTCTCGGCTTCGAAGCATACTTCAGACCGGAGATATCGGACTTAATGGAAACGTCGCTGTTAGTGCTGAGGCTTGGAGGTTTAATCATGTTCAAAGAACCAGTAAAACTTGAGGTAGTGGGCTACATTAGGCTAGCTGACAATTATTAGGTAGCTACAAAGGTACGTAGTCTCATGCCATGTGAGCGCAAATCTTTGGGCTCGCAGAAAAATACTACGCTTCGTGGCAGATAATAGATCGCCGCCAGTTTCGCTAGCAGAGCTAAAATAAATACAGTTATATTTGAAAGAGACTCCTGAATTCCTGCACAACCGGCATGAGACACTTCTTTCGGCGAATCTTTGGGTTTCGTCAACACACTTCATCTCACAGCTCACCTCAGAGACGCGCCATGAGCTCCTCGACTGTGGCAGTTCTTTACGCCCTCACCCTTTCGATACCTTCAACCTCCACAGGTCCTGAGGATGCAAAAGAGAAGAAACACCATGTCTCAGGGGGTTTCACGAATCCATGGGAGTAAGTACTGCAGGGAGATGCTTGTTACAAACCTTCCGCATACTAATCCATCACATAGTTCATATAAGACCCCCGCTGTTCAGCGCTTTTTTCTGTGAGTACTATCAAAAACTGGTACCGGGGACCAATATCTAGCCTAACGTGTGAGTACCATCTCAAGGCGACAAATAAATGGACAAGCCAACCGTCCCGACACTACACCTCCAACCGTGCCTGTCCAAAAACCAGAGTTCTTGCCTAGTAGAGATACTCCTAAGTTGCGTGCGACTTGGCTGGGTCATGCCTGTTATTATGTCGAGTACCCCAGCGGTCTGCGAGTACTGTTTGACCCCGTATTCGAGGACCGTTGCTCGCCATTTTCTTGGCTGGGCCCCAAGCGTTACACTGAGATGCCGTGTCAAGTCAAGGATATACCCATAATCGACGCGGTGGTGATATCTCATAATCACTATGACCATCTGTCGTATCCTACAGTTAAAGAGATCTCTAAGCGACATCCAAATTGCCATTTCTTTGTGCCTCTGGGCAATGAGGCGTGGTTCAAAAGCTCTGGGATTGACAATGTGACTGAATTAGACTGGTGGGAGGAACGTGATATTGTTCTCTCGCCGTCCCAATCGACAGGGACGCAAGTTGAAGAGTCAGCCGAGAATGGTGGTTCAGGTCCAGGAGATATAAAAGGGCGGGTTGGATGCCTACCCTGTCAGCATACTAGTAACAGAGGCGTATTCGACCGAGCAAAGACATTGTGGGCTTCATGGTATGTTGAGTCCGGCGGACGCAAGGTCTACTTTGCTGGGTATGTAAACAGACAGATGTTTGTGAGTATTTAGGCTTCGCTGCTAACCTATGATACAACTACAGAGATACCGGCTACAGAAATGTGCCAGAGCTTCCTGACGGTGCTGATGACCATGCACCGGAATACGACTTTCCAGTGTGCCCTGCTTTCAAGCAGACGGGTGAATTTCGTGGGCCGTTCGATCTGGGATTGATACCGATTGGAGCCTATAGTCCTCGCTTCGTTTGGAGCCCAGTGCATGCTGACCCTCACGATGCAGTTCAGATATTCCAGGATACCAAGTGCAAGAAGGCCCTGGGTATGCACTGGGGCACTTGGGTGTTAACAGAGGAAGACGTCCTTGAGCCACCTAGAAAATTGAGAGATGCGTTGAGAAAACATGAAATTCCTGAGGTCGGGGTTTTCGATGTTTGTGACATTGGAGAAAGTCGGGAGTTTTAGTGTGAGGGTTATTGGAGGCTACTGAAACACTGGTGAATCTGGGTCTGAAACTGTATGGAAAATGGCGGGAATTAGTATACGTGGTCTATATATAGCACTGTTACATGTACGCAATATTTGACTATATCTTCAATGGTAGAAAATAGCTTGCTGAATCTTTCGTCGAGCTGTTCGGCGCATATCGATAGACTGTAAGCGCTGGCCTAAAAGTTCTAATTATGGAGTAGAGTGAGTGAATTGGCGCGGCGCTACTGATTGAACCTGGTACACATCTTAAATATGAGTGCCTAAGTCTCAAAGTAAGCAGGTATTTTGCTTGAACAACACAATTTGACTTGTCTTTCTTACTGTGGATGTACTGTCCCTATGACCCCTGCTGATAAGTGCCGGATGTTGCATAATACAACCTGCATAGTACGAAATTACCCGACATAATAACAGGACCAAACTAAGTAAGTGATGCATGCAATTAAACAATACGAGAAAAAGGAGATAAAGAAAAAGAAAACATGCATACAGGAAGCCTAACGTTGCACATCTGTATCAGGTCATTAGCCTTGAGCAAACGCGTTGCACTGAGCAACCCACAACAAACACAGACCAAACCCAATCCTCAGCTCCTCGAGAACTATACTCACATTCAATAGCCCTTGCCCTTGAAGCCTAATCTTTCTAGGGCAGTAAAGGTTGTTATTGAAGTAGTAAAATAATGCACGTCGAGATGTCAGGCTATTTCGAACCGACAGCGCTCATTCCAGATCCCCTTTCGTTTCACCAGGAGAGAAACTCATGGGAAATGAACCGATATAGGAGCCCAGAAGACGGTTACTTCACAGAGAGCGAAGAAGAGGTCCTTTACGGTTTGGATGAAGTAGCCATGGCCGCGCTACCACTCCGATTACAAGAAAACATGCGCGAGTTACATCTTGAGCGCGTGCAAAGATTAAAAAGAGAGGAAAGCAATACTCCATTCTACAAGCCATCTTACCATGCAACATCACCAGTGATTTGGTATAAGGACTCGATAGCCGCGATGGAAGCAAGCCAGGACACGGAGAAGAGCGATCGCGGAGGTTTGCCAAGTTCAAGCCCGGAGCAAGCCGATTGGTATCTGTGGCAGAGAATACGTGAGATGAATGAGAGAAGGCATATGGAATATGATACTATCGCGATGGCGGGGCATTATTCCCACAGCTCGAATGCGCGCTTCAATCTGGGCAACAATCTGTTTTCAAAGCACTCGACCTCAACGGAAGAGGCCATTGAAACCGAATATACTAGCGATCAACAGACTCGCGACAAATACATATCACAGCTGACAGACACAAAAGCCCGGACATGTGTAGTTCATACAGTTGAAGACATCGAGGCACCTCATGAAGGGTCCAATGTGCATGAGCGAGTTCGCCAGAGAGGCTCGTCAATGATTTCCGCCATGCGCGGCCGCATGCGAAAGAGTATCCAAAGAATGAGCAGGGTCTTCAAGAAGCAGCCCAGTTTCCGAAGTCATAATCGAGCATGCGAAACCTTTGTTTCGAGTTGATACATGGCAGCGCCATGCTGTTACGGAGATAACGATGATCACCAGAGTTATGACAGAAAATTGTTACGGGATGGCTGGACACATCACCAGGGAACAATAATTTGGATGTCATGTAGGCAAACAAGCGAGTGCAAATATTTCAGGTCGTCTAGGCAGTTGTACGAATAGTACATACAATAAAAGTGTTTGGATTTGATAGGAGTGGATTTAATCAGGAGAAAGGTAGACTAATCCTGAAGGGGATTAGTGGGGGTGAGCTTCCAATCCGCAATCCCACTTCGAGGTTCGCTGGAAATTTGATGGTGAAGGCGGGCACAGCACTCCAGATCCCCCTAACGAACGCGCCCCTCATTTATCTTGTTCTTCAGTTGTTTTTGAAGAACCCTTTCAATAATATTTAGGAATACCCAACCTCTCTTTTTCCCTCCCCGCAGTACATTAAGACCACCGCCAAAATGCAGGCACCGGTGGTGGTAATGAGTATGTTGTCAACGGAATTCACCTTGGCTTTGACCTCATATGGCTAAAAATCATAGACACCAACGCTGGTGAACGACAGGTCGGTCGCAAGGCCCAGCTTTCGAATATTACTGCCGCAAAGACGTACGTGACAATACTCTTTCTAGCCACTCCGGCTCTAACATAAAAATACTCGCAGTGTTGCGGATATCATTCGGTCATGTCTGGGACCTAAGGCTATGCTGAAGATGCTGCTCGATCCTATGGGCGGTATCGTCTTGACTAACGATGGACATGCTATTCTGAGAGAAATCGAGGTGTCGCACCCCGCAGCAAAGAGCATGATTGAGCTCAGCCGTACTCAGGATGAGGAGGTCGGGGATGGAACCACGACCGTTATCATTCTAGGTATCATCGCACGCTCTCTCAAGATGCTATTATGTTGGTATACTAACGCTTGGCAGCCGGTGAGATGCTCGCTCAGGCCCTCCCTCAGCTCGAACGTAACATTCATCCCGTCGTCATTATCTCTGCCTTCAAGCGTGCTTTAGCGGATGCCCTTGCCATTGTGGAGGAGGTCTCGATCCCTGTTGATATCGACGATGATAAAGCAATGTACACTCTTATCCAGTCGTCCATCGGGACGAAGTTTGTTTCCAGATGGTCGGAGCTGATGTGCAGTCTGGCCCTGAAGGCTGTGCGAACCGTTTCCTTCGATGCCGGTGGTGGAAAGAGGGAGGTTGACATTAAGCGGTATGCTCGTATTGAGAAGATTCCTGGTGGCCAGATTGAAGACAGTGAGGTTATCGACGGCGTGATGGTGAACAAGGATATTACCCACCCTAAGATGCGGAGAAGAATTGAGAACCCCCGAGTCGTCTTGCTCGACTGCCCATTGGAATACAAGAAGGGTGAATCTCAGACAAACATCGAGATCACGAAGGAGGATGACTGGAACAGGATCCTGGAAATTGAGGAGGAGCAGGTTAAGCGCATGTGCGATGCCATCTTGGCTGTCAAGCCTGATGTTGTCATCACAGAAAAGGGTGTTTCGGGTAAGAAGCTTCTGCTCCAGACTGCGGGATGATTCATTACTGACCACCCGTCCAGACCTCGCACAGCACTTCTTGATGAAGGCCAACATCACAGCTCTCCGCCGAGTGAGGAAGACGGATAACAACCGTATCGCTCGTGCCACTGGTGCGACGATCGTGAACCGGGTCGATGACCTCCAGGAATCTGACGTAGGAACGGCTTGTGGATTGTTCGAAATCGAGAAGATCGGCGACGAATATTTCACCTTCCTCAGAAAATGCCAGAACCCTAAGGCTTGCACCATCCTTCTGCGTGGTCCGTCCAAGGACATTATCAACGAGGTTGAGCGCAACCTTCAGGATGCTATGGCCGTTGCCCGGAATGTCATCTTCCACCCACGACTGTCCCCTGGTGGCGGTGCTATCGAGATGGCAGTTTCTGTCAAACTGGGCCAGTTGGCGAAGTCTATTGAAGGCGTTCAACAGTGGCCTTACAAGGCCGTCGCTGATGCTATGGAGGTTATTCCCCGGACGTTGGCTCAAAACGCAGGAGCCAGCCCTATTCGTGTCTTGACTCGCATGAGGGCCAAGCATGCCGAAGGCCACACCACATGGGGTCTTGATGGTGACTCTGGTGCCCTCGTTGACATGAAGGAATATGGCGTCTGGGAGCCTGAAGCAGTGAAACTCCAGAGCATCAAGACTGCTGTGGAAGTAAGTAGAATATGTTCTCCTCGTGTTGCTGGTACAGTTGCTAACCCGGTTAGTCCGCATGCCTACTTCTCCGTGTTGATGATATTTGCAGCGGCAAGTCTGCACAGCAGGTGGGTGCCAACCTTGGTGGCGGCGATGAATAAGACTAGTAACAGGTTTAAAAATGCGTACATAATGCTGCACGATCACCTCTTGATATTGTACGAATATCCTAGACTAAAAATTACACGGGTATCTTTATATCGTACACTCCAAAGTGACAGCGATCTCGTAATATCCTGCCCACAGTTTCTGTTGGCAACCGTAGTCTCAGTCTTCATGGATTATCACTCCTGGTGTTTCCGCATGTTCGACGGCATCTACTGGCCAGTTTTGATCTTCGTCCTTATTCCCGTCGAGTGCCCTTTTCGTCGGCCCATCAACAGCCATGTTGTCAGGCCCCTTACCATTGCTACCAGCGCCTTTCTTTTTATTCTTTGCCGCATTCCTCTTTTCCCTTCTTTTCCGGTTCTTTTCCGTCTTTTCTTCATCCTTCCGCCTTGCCTCCTCGCGTTCTTTCTCCCAATCTTTGTCTTCCTTCTCCTTACTGACCTCGCTTTCCATCATGCGTAAGCGCTCATATTCCCTCCTGCGACTGGCCTTATAAACGTGGAATTCTCCGGAACCGGCACCAGCAGAAGAACCTTGAACATTCGCCACGATTTCCGGTGGAGGAGGCAATGACGCTGATGAGCGCTGCTTGGAAGAATCGGGGAGCTTGATCTCCTTCGCGGGGTCGCGAAAGAGAGACTGAATCTGAGAAGCTTGCTCCGACTGCGCTGTGACAGCACGACGTTTGACGGGCCGCTTGCTACGCGGATCCGCGCTCGTAGGGATCGATTCCGGGCCTGGTTCGGACATTCTGAGACTTTGCGTTTGCCTTACGCGGGTAATTATAAAGTAATCCTGCGGCGATCTACGCAAAGTGTGACCTGGCAGGCGCAAGATCTGACGTGATTTCGTTGGATTTGGTTGTTTTCGCAACTTGAGGTCTTTGAGGTAGTAAGTTGGGAAATTTTGTTTTTAATCGGCGCAAATTTTATGACGTTTGTTTTGTTTTAACACCCGGGCCAATCACGAGTAGACGGAGTTGTCTAGAAGCTCAGGGCTGGAGAAAAGTTGATGCTCAGGTGCTCGGATAAGCCTACTAAATTAAACCAATCTAGAGCGGTGAAGGCGTGGGGTTGTTTATCTTTGGTCCTTTTGTGACTTGTCTTCAGCTGTTCAAACTCCCCGTTTAGTTTCTTGGCTGTTTTATGTAGGACAATGAGATCTTTTTGGGTTAGTTGGCCTTTCTTGCTGTTGTCACACCGATTATAGCCTTAGAAACGAAAATAATAATAATTAAGTGAAGGAATTGAGACGGGGCAGTAAGACGATTCTGTCACAGCCTCAAGTAACGCATGTGACTACTGCCTTAGGCGACGTCTCGAGGATCTATAGCATCCTCCTACTAATCGCTCTCTCTCATACAATTCGTTCCTTTTCCTAGCTCTTTCCACTCACGCATCTTTGTCCCTTTGTATCAGGGATGCTTCACTCCCTTTCGGGTACTATTAGCACAGGTATACTCATCTAACGGCGTTATCTTCTCCGCGCAAACCCCGCGTCTTATCGCGCGATGGATGTAAGATCAGGACTCACTAACCAAGCAACTAAGATAGGATGTAAGAAAGATGTGAAGGTTGGTAGGATCAAAATATAATCATACTGCACGAGTCTTCGGCAAGTAACTGATATATTATCTACAGTTTGAAGCCGACGATGTATGCTGTTTAAAGTCCAATCCTACTTTGGTGGGACATGTCTGCGTAAGTACCGCCGTTTGATCGATATCGGTTTATTCTGGCTAAATGGTAATGTACAGAGAACTGACCATGATGTATGTTCTCTCTCCTTTCTCCGATGGCTGAGACGGCCGAAGCAGTTGCTGAATTGACCTGTCCAAGGCTGATACCGATGAACCCCTGAACCTGAGTACATGCTTAATCCTTTCTTATACCCCCGTTCCACAGAAGGACTTGGAGGAGTTCCTGGAAAGTGGAGTAGTATGTAACCACAACCCAAAAGTCGACTCTCTCTGAAAGTTAATTCTCGCATTAGCCTCCAAAAGGGTATGTTTTTGTTAGCTTCCCGGAGCCCTCGCAGGGAAACTCGCTCATACATGAGAGCGACCTTGAACTAGTCGATCGCACTTTGGATCTTGGCGACACTGTCAAGCGGCACTCAGATGACACAATCAGCGGTACGGTCATCAGTACCTCTGCAACATGTAGCCTTGAGCCAATCGCTTATCGAACGCTCGATTCCAAGACTGGAGAGTATGGCTCTCTCAACTTCGCCGAAAAGGTCATCAAGCGGGAAGGCAGTCTAGCAATTGAGAACGATGCCACAAAACCTCCACTTCTGCATGAGATTCCAGTAGTAGAACTCAAGAAATACGAAGAATTTTCCGAAGGCGATTATATTGTCTACCGGCAGAAGCTTGGAATCATCCATGGAATTGATCGTGATGCCATACTTCTTCTTCCAAATCAAAACGTTGTATCTCCCCTCGATCCGGGTGCTCTGGAGATCCCGCTTCCATTCGAAATCGAGAGCCTCGTGTCATTGCCCAACAACACCAGTGCTATGCGGCATTACCCCTTGGCTAATGGTGGCTCAATCTGGTCCAACGAATCAACTTTCGTGTTCCCTGGCCAATTTTCCTTTACGTCCAGGAACAACCTGAGCAGGGGCGACTTGTCCTCTAGTGCAGCCTCAATCTCACAGCCAGAAGGCTATGTCATAGCTACGCCGGCCATGGATATCCAAGTCGACTGGCTGTGTCCAAATGTTTTTGCCGCAGGAACATCCCATAGTGGGGCCAACCTCGAGGTAATAAGAGCATCTACTCTCCGTGGAAACGCAGTGGTATGCGACTTTGGGCAGATTCCCCAGGGAAAAGCCAATGAAAAACCTGTTTATTCAGATACCTGGCTTAATATCGGGGATAGGGTGCGTTTCCGGGATTCAATATCTGCAGCTGCAAAATATCCGGCATATCAGCACATGCCTACTGACCAAACATTCGGCTACGATATAAACATCCTCCGTGTTACTTCCAAGAAGTCGGAGGCCACTGTTCAGTGGCAAGATGGGACTACTACCACCGAAGCAACCACTTCTCTGCACAAATTCTTTGGCGCTGAGGACGAAGTCTGGCCGGGAAATTTAGTTGTCACGAAGGATGGCATTGAGACTATTCGGGAGCCCTGCAAGAACAATACAGGCCCTTTAGGGCGCCATATGAAGGAGACACTGCATGTTAAGAGAGTCGGGGTGGTTCAAAATGTGGATAGCCAGGAGAGGATAGCATCGGTCCGCTGGTATAAGGATCCGGATGTCAAAATGACACATCGGGGAAGCATGTTAGTGCCTGGATCCTTCCTAGGCGAACTTAGCGATGTTGTCACAGAAGTCTCCATCTATGAGCTTTACTCATATTCTAGCATGCAAAGGGTACTGAATGATCTAGTACTTCTGGCACCCAGAATAGTTCACCGGTCATCAATACCAGCAACTGACAGTGAGCCGACTAGAGCAGCTGGCCCTTGTCGGCTGAGCGCTCTCTCTCCTGTCACCTTCTCTGAAACAATTTCATACCTCGAGTCCATGAAACTATCCATGGTGAACTCTGAATGGTTCAAAAGGACTACTGATATTGACATGTCACCTGTACCCCCCAGATACAGCGTACACCACGAAGAATTTAGCATCAAATTGCCAACTGACTTCATTGGCAAGATCATTTCAATAGATACTGAGGGCACCATCACCATTCGAACTGCAGGTGCCGACAGTGTTCGTGATATTCGCGTGCCATGGGAGAGAATCATGATGATAATTGATGAGGATAATATAATTCCGCCTATGGCGCTCCCGCCACTCGAATTATTGAGCCTCGCGGATATCGATCGTTTTGTACAACCAGCCGACCTCCCATTCACTGAGACGATTGAATATGAGGGCAGCGAGCGTCTTGATAATGATAGTGGGGATGATGACTGGGCGACTGAAGGCGAATCCGAGTTTGACGATGAGGACTTTGAGGACGTGGAATACAACAGCGAGGATAGTGATGGGCTGGTGGCCCCCGCATTGTCAATTATCAATCCTCCTGAGAGACTCAACCATAACGAGCGGGAACAGCCTGTTACTGATGAGGCCCGAGCTGAACTTCCTCAAGTGGAAAATAGACTACTTCTACTCTCAATACCCTTGCCATCGTCATGTCCTCTGGGCTTCTCTCTGTTAGAAAGCCCTCCCCCTTCTGACCACCATTTCTTTTCCAGGGTTCCGAGTGAAGCTCCTGGACTGCGTACCAAACGTATACAAAAAGAATTCGAAATTCTCCAGTCCTCTTTACCGGCTGGAATCTTCGTGCGGACATGGGAGTCTAGGATGGACCTCTTACGTGTTCTGATAATTGGGCCTCAAGGAACACCATATGAGCATGCGCCGTTTGTGATTGACTTTCACTTCCCTGATGATTATCCTATTCGTCCTCCAGCAGCCTATTTTCACTCGTGGACGGACAGAAATGGGATGATCAACCCCAACTTGGGAGAAGATGGCAATATCTGCTTGAGTCTCCTAGGAACTTGGCCTGGGAAAAATCCCACGGAAAGTTGGTCCCCCACCAGCTCGACGGTCTTGCAGATCTTGGTTTCAATCATGGGTCTCGTATTGGTAAAGATGCCATTCTACAGTACGTATAACCTTCGCCGGCGGGCTTGCATGAGTACTAACCTGATCAAGATGAGGCTGGCTACGAAACACTTGCTGCGGAGGAAGACAGGCGTGTCGAGTCGACCCAATACACGGAGAAAGCCTTCCTGATAACACGGACTTTTATCCAACACGCCCTTGAAAGCCCTATTGCTGGCTTAGAAGATGTTCTAGCTTGGCATTATTTCGCAGAACCCCGACAGGGACAAAACGATACTTGCATCCGCCCACGACTACTACGTCGGGCTATTGACGAAGCTCTTAGCATGATTGAGCATCATAACCGCACACCAGCAGGTGAAAAGCTGAGTGAGGAGCATGCGGCATCGGCCTTTGTGTCTCGTCTTAGTCTAGGGGCAGTTGTGATGTTGCGAAAGCATATTAATACACTGGAGAAGATTGAATTAGCTGCGAGTTCTGTCGAGAGGGTTTAAGCTTCTTTGATGCTGCGCTTTGCTCAGGGTCCAGTTTATCTAATCTGTGTTTATTTAGGGTTGTGGGTGTCAGTATTGACTGCTCTCTCGCATTCTTATCAGCACTGCAGCTGTCGCTTGGAATATAGGGAGGAAACAAAATCAGCAGTTACTGGGATATGAACGGTATTATAATTCTATAAGCTGTCCTCAGTAAATTTCTTGAGCAATGCTGGGTAATTCGTGCAGTTTTAGAGGCATATGTGTTGGAATGAACCCGCCGACTGTATATACTTTTCGCAACCATAAACTGGAGTAACAGGCAGAAAAGGCTCCAAACCAGAAAATGAAGGTCAGCACGTTGTGACGCCTTGTTCGCAAGACGAGAAACCTGACCAAATAGAACCAAGAAGAATTAAATAATGAAATCCAGGGGAATAAAGAGGAGTTGGCCTGAGACAACTGTAAAGAGAGCTGCGGGTTTGGTCGGTGGCGTGTTCCGTTGCTCTCTCTTTTGTCGGTTTTCTTTTCTCTCCCTTCAACCTCCATCTCTTTCCCTCTTGCACATTTCCTTCCCCCTGCTTCTCTTCTGTTTCCATGATACACTAATAGGTTTCAATATCACCATTAGTTATCGTTCTAAAGTCTGGCATTCTTGAATAATATCGCGACCTTTTAGCGCTTCTTTCGCACCGCGGATCAAAGAAAAACAGCCGCGTCGCTTGTTTTTAACATGCCATCTTATCGCTTGGGTAAGTGATGTTTTTGTCAATATTCTGTCTTATATTTGGGTAAAATAATTGGTGGTATATCACTGCCATTACTGCGATGATGCGATAGAGCCTATTCAATGAGATCTTGGATCTGTTTGCTGTCGTCTCTGGGTTGTGGTTGTGTTCCCAGCCATGTCAATCAGCCGCTGGGTGCCTACTTGCAACCAGGCAGACGTCGCACAGTTCCTTCTCTTTTACCTTTTCATTTTTTCTTCTACCTATCTCCCTCTCTATCACTCTTTCTTTCTGCGTATTTCGGCCTTTATTGCTATACCTATACATTTATTGCATATGGATGCTGCTTAGCTCTGTTCATTTCCATACATAGAGCATTATCCTAACCTTGAAACAGAGCAAGCCTCTACCGGCAGAGCTGGCTGTCAAAACAAAGAATGCAAAGACGAGAAGGTCAAGATCGCCAAAGGCGAGCTCCGTCTCGGCACCTGGGTTGACACCGAGCGCATCCAGGCATTTTTCTGGAGACATTGGTGAGCTCCTATTTAACTGCCTAGACCTGTCAGAATTGCCAGACTGACGCTTTCCAAAGGGGCTGTGTAACACCCAGAATCATTGCTAGTCTCAATGAAAATCTTGGGGATGGTGACGAGAAGGATTACGAACAGCTAGATGGCTTCGAAGATCTTACTCCGGAAAATCAGGAGAAGGTCAAGAAGGCGCTGGAACAGGGCCATGTCGATGATGACGAGTGGAAGGGGGTATATAACTCCATTTTCTTGTCTCTCTTCTTTTCACCGGTCTTGTTTTTTAAGACTCGATGCTGTGTTCTCGATTCCAAGTGCTGACGGATATAGGATGTTGAAATGAACCGTCCTGGTAAGAATGGCTTCCGCGTGCGCGGATCAAAGAAGAAGACGGCTGCCGCTGAGGTTTGTTTCATCACCAATACCATGTAGCCCATGTACAATGTTTCTAAACAATGTATGCAGGAGAGCGAAGCTGAAGCAAAGACCCCTGAGCCAAAGACCAAAAAGCGTGGCCGTCAGTCAATCAAGGACGAGGCTGAAGGTCATGCTGAAGATCATGCTGAAGAGACACCGGAAACCAAGAAACCTAAGACAGGAGCACGTGGAAAGCGAGCCTCCCAAGGCAAGGCGACAAAGGAAGAAGCAGACGACGATGCGGCAACTCCTGCAAAACCCAGGGCAACTAGAAAGGGCCGTGCCTCGAAGAATGACACCGAGGACAAGGAATCACCAAAGGCTCCTGCCAAAGCTACTAAGCCCGCTGCTAAGCGCCAGCGGAAGGCTGCTGCGAAAGATGATGAAGCGGAGCCTGTTGAAGAAGAGCCTGCTGAGGAAAAGCCGAAGCGAGGCCGGAGGAAGAAGACTGCTACTTAATGGTGCCCTACCACCAATGGACACTCTCGGTCTTAATTTCATGCATGGTGTCTTGATGTTCTGTGGGAGTTTTTCGTTTTCTCGTTTCATTATGAGCTTCTAGTGTCGCTTTGTGTTGTTGTTATGCGAGTATGTTGAAGGTTCGTGTGTGAGCAGGCGAGCAGGCGAGCAAGCGTCTCCGTTGTATGTCAACTTTCATCCGTCCGAGGCGAAATGGTTATGCCGATAGTTACTTACGGTGTATTAATAGTAAATCTTAATAGGTGCTATAATGATACAATCACCTAATTCTGTATAACTGAAATCCACGGGCTTGTGAAATGAGGCGGCCTAATCTCTCAATTCCTAGCTTAGATCATTATACTTTCCGACATCAACCATGAATCCTAGATATCAAACAAATTGGCACAGACAAAACCGGGCAATCCAAGAGAGTGACGGTTAAAACCAAAGACCTGCAAAAGCATCATAGATTCAGCTCAAGGAGTGGCGCCAAAACAAACAAATCATGCCTCAAAGTTCATTAAAAGATGATATTGATATGGTAGGCCAACCTCGAAGAAGTGAATAATTCAGCATGAGTCATAGAATGGAATCGATCGATCTGAGTTCAAGCATTCCAGTTCAACTCGTAATGTGAAGATCGGGATTTTTTTTTAGTGATTTTCTGTACATATCGTCGTGCTTACTGTGCAGTCGTTAGGTCATCTTAGGCGATTCATCGTTACTGTGCGATAATGTAAGCGCCTATTCAGGTTCAAAATAAGCAGAAAATGAGAGAAGACCAACCTAATCTCCTCAAGATCGTCCATGTGGTTACACATAGCAACAAACAGATCGAAATAGAACTTATGGCCCATCTCCATCTCAAACTGCATGGTTCCACTGGTCTTGAAAATCTGTCGGGTCCGAATAATCATAGCTAGGTAGTGAGCGCGTAGTCGATACTCCGAGTCTGGCGTGTTGTCGTAGGCATACCGAGCGGATCGTAGAATCACATCGATGGGGATTCCGCTCTGAAGACCCTGCTTGCGGATAGCAAGGCTTTTGAGCCCCTCCAGTCCATACTTCTCGGCTGCACAGTACACGACCGTGTCCCTGAGGACAACGTCACCTACGGCGGAGTGGAACATAGTCGCTTCGCTCGATCCGCGGCCACCGGGATGTGTGGTGACGTTCTGGCTGTTCTCAAGTTCCATTGAATTGGTGTCCTTGTTACGGAGCAGGCGCGGGAAATAATCTCCCTTGTACAGGAATTCGAGAACGCAGGACAGAACTTCTGGCTCTCTGGGATATGTTAGGGATATGTACGGTGCTGGTTCTGGGCTTGGTTTGATGACATACTCATCTGGCAGGGCCACTACGTTATTCTTGCTATCCCCAACGAACTCGTCGTTGAGTAGAGACCGGAATAAAGGCGAGCGGCACAGAATTTCCTCATGAGCTACGAAGACACGTTGTTCGTGACTCACGATCATGGTGACTATAGGGCTGGTGAGGGGACTATAGAAATCATCTACGATCAGCTTAAACTCTTCTATCTCATTGTGCTTGAGCTTGAGAAGGCACTCTACAACGGGAAGTAGTATCCTTGGGAACAGGAAACAATATTAGTTACTCACGTAGCCGGTGACTGATTTTCCACCTTCTCTTGCATTTTCTTCGCCTTCGCATGTCTACCCGGTGTCTTCCTTGGAGACCTTCTAGACTTGCCGACTCGATCGCTTCGAGTGAACGAGCGATTAGAGGTTCTCAGTCTATCGTCCATGCCCATGAACTTGGCCAGAAATGACACTAGAGACATCCAGACGTAGAGACAAAAGATTGACAGAAGAAGCCAAACAAAAGGAAACGATCGAACAAGCTGGTCAATATAAACAAATGACGCTACCGACTCACGCACATTGCATGAAACAGAGAGTCCTGGAAGCCTTCCCAAGATGAGATCCTCCTCGTAATCGCAAGCCTTCATTAACGAAAATGAAAGCTTACAGGCTGTTGAGAAGGTGCAGGTTTCCTGGGAGCTGGCTTTCGCCTACATAAATCCACATATGCGGAGTAGATTCACGTAGCGAGACTTGGTCGACTCTGGGGGGCGCGAGAAAGGAAAGGAAAGAAATGAGATGGAGCTGGCAGAGGGTCTTATATAGATGCGGGGAATGAATCATGTGATGATGAGATGGGTGATCAGCCACATGACGGCTTATGTAGATCACGATGTATATAGATATCTTAGTTCCTATATAATTTATTTTCCAGGTTGTATGGAAGTGTGTGTATTAGTATACACTAGTCACAAGTCAGTCCTTTATATGCAAGTGTAGTTATTGTCATGAATTGTGATCACTATGAAAATTCAATCATATTGTACCAGAAATAGGGTCCCCTCCACGATAGACGATCAATATCTATCTCAGAACGGTTAGGGTGTAGTAAAGCTGAATAGTTCTGCCTTTACAGGCTTACTTCTACTCTGATTCATATCAGTCTGGAGAGTTATACCCATTGTACTAGTGCTCCATTTTGGGATTCATACAAGTAACACCAAAGAACGACATATACCAGCTTCTTCTTAGGCGGTGACAACCAGCACTTCTATATATCTATACTAACAGGCAGAATGCTTTTACCACAGCAACCAACACAATATCCACTAAAACACTAATCATCATAACCAACGGATTGAAAACAGCGAAGCTAGGCGCAGAACAACAGGTCTTGCCGCGGCCAGAACCACCAAAGCATAAGCGTCTACTTACTTCTACTTATCAAAGCCTTGCTATTTCATAAAATCCAGGCAAGGAAGAAACAATACCATTCCATTATTATATTGAGTCAGCCATTTTTCAAGCCCCTGTGTCTTTTGTTGCCAACTGTCAATGTCTAAATCATCCACTGATCTTAGGGAAACGGTCATAGGGTACTATGGTGAACTGGACATTGGCAGGAATTTCCGTCCAGGGCGATATACTCATTACATCTATAATGATCCATACACTGCTCACGCTGCTTAAGCTGTATGGATTATACGTGTTGGCAGTACTGGCGGAATTTGCTGCTACTTTTCAAGCAGATGAACTGGAGGAGTTGCTGGAGTATGCTAGAGCTCAAAGGGACGATACCTATGCACACAGCAGTCTCGCGGACAGTGATGGGACAGAGACCGATCTCACGGATAGTGACTCCACTGACAGTGACTGAGATGTTGGCTTAAGCTACGAAAGTGGGATTCGGGATACTGGCTCTACAGGCGGTCCTTTCATAGCAGCGACTAAGGTCATGATGCCGGCTTGACCCATGGGTAGTTACTTTTCAGAGGTGGCTTACGGACAGTGATTGAGATGTTGGATTGATACATACCTTGTACTTGATGGCTAAACTGCCTTGATTCGTCTTTGCCTTTCAATACCTGCTAATAGTATCATGCCTGGTCAGAATCAAGTAGCCACATATTGAAAGCTCTCATTATTCCCAGTTATTGTACGATTTCCAAGTTCAGCGAGTAAATGTCGACATCTTTTCGCATAATGCTATTCTTTTTCCTTCATTTACTTCATGCCTTTCCACCGATGAATATAATCTTGAATATCACCGCAAGACGCTACCTTCTTATCGCGCAATATCGCGAAAGCAAATTCGACATATTCCTAACCACTTACTGTCCGTCTCGAATAGCCTTATATGCATCCACGAAGTAAGGAGTATCGGCTGATAAGCCAATCCTCTCCTTGCGCAAGGACACGAGCGAAATCGGGCTAACGGCAAGGCATCCCACTGGAATTTTATGAACTAGGCGCCAAATATGTCTACTTTGTTCTCCTGACTGTGGAATGTTTGCAAGTCTTATCAGCATAACCGTATAGATTTGTTGATAGCCAGAACCATGATCGGCAATCACTCCTTCGTTTTCTTTCTATCATTTTCCTAGTGGGAGCAAATTTGGGGGTTACAGGTGAGGCTAAATGAAACGCAATAAAATCACTGGACAGGGACTATGTTGGGAGGTTGATTGCGTGCACCCCCAGCCATGACTTTCGTCCCGAATTGCAGATGATCCTCACAGCCATTTTCTTGAGTGGGCCAACGAACAGGGTTCTATGAGTACGCATCTTGCGGTCTACAGGGCTATTCTAACTATAATCAGTGCCACCCTCCCTTTGCGTTATGCTATAATACTCTGTACTCTGCAATCTAGCTCATTTTCCAGAACTCCGCGGCACACAAAGTAAACTTACCTAATAGCAATACTACCCCTCTGCTTTTGATCCAACAGTGCGCTTTTGCATACCATGAGAAACAAACTGACCCACCCCAATGTAAAATTTCGCAGGAAGGCACTTTCAAAGATTCTCAAGCTATTTCGCCAGACGCCCAAGCATGAGCGCACTGCATTCCCGAGTCTCCTGGATCTTCCAAGCGAGATTCGTTTGCTTATCTACCAGTTTGCCTTTGCTACTACCGGCAACCATATACTCGTCACTGTTGATCGTGACAGACGTGGGAGTCGTCCGATGCCAACCACAGATGACCCAAACGAACGACCTACTCGAGAGCTCAGATACACTCGCATGCCTTCCACACCTTTGCCAGCAGCCTTACTTCAGACGAACCAGCAGATATACTGTGAAGCCCTCCCGGTTCTATACGCGAACACCATCTTCTCAGCCTCATCGAATCTCACCTCATTAATGTACCTGAAAGATCGCCTGTCGCAGTTGGCGAGAAACAATATTCGACAAGTTCAGCTTTGCCCTACCTCTTTGCTCTCTGAATCTTTTATTCGAGAGCGAGAGTTGCTGTCGTGGACCATCCTTTGCGCTGAAGTCGCCGATCTTCCCGCCCTCGATCGAGTTTGGATATCATACCCCAAGCCAGAGACGTTGAAATATGGTACTATAGAGTTCCATCAAGGGCGCTATGCCAAGTGGTTGGATTTAGTTCGAGCTAAAAAGTATCTTGTCTTTGACGTATTTGAGGGTAGCGCAGAAGACAGGGAAAAATGTCGAAAGCGGTTCAGAGAGATCGTACGAGACACCGGCGAGGCTTTGGGGGATTGATGTTAAAGGTATATTGTACACTACTAATTTATGCTCTCGGTTCTTTCTATTCGCTGTTCGGGTTTCGCAGTAGGGCTTGCGCGGGACTTTTATAAATCAAATTGTTCACCTCGGGAAAGTAGAGTACCTCTGCTTCTTTGATCCGGCTGAACACTACTACTAGTACAATAGACTGCTAGTGCCAATCGATTTGTCTCTGATTGGTCAGGCAGTTTAGCGCCGACATTGAACAGAAAACAAGTAATTTACTGGAATCCGATTCAACGCCATCGGAAGCGAGGGTCAGAGGTGGTGCTGACAGTAGGCAGATGATAGATCAGAATTCCATATCAATGCTCATACATTAGTGAAAGCATAACATGCATCTAAGGTGCTGGTGAGCAACCCGCCAATCATAGTTTGGCAGAGTAGATTCTTGACAGAAGGAGTGGCTGTGGCTGTGCAACCAAATGTGTGGCGCACGAAGTCAGCTGTAGTGTTGCACAGGTCAGGCAGTGATATCATCGCCCAGGGAGCTTCGACGTTCCTGAATTCCTGCCTGCATATGTAGCCCCTTTCTCCGGATTTTGGTGAAAGCGGATATTGTTGATCTTTGGAATATTCAAGTGATGTTTCTGGTCTAGATGACTGTCAAGGGATACTCTAACTAATTCTTTCTCTTGGAATTTCCAGCTCACCGACCCAGCCATCTACTAACTTTAATACCCCTCTGTCGATCTGTTCGATCTGAACCTTGCCAGCCAAGACTGCCTTTTAACTTCGCCACAACCTTTAAGCTATCCTAGAGGAATATAATCAATTGCACTTACTTCTTTTTATACTCTGATCATTTAATTATTCGTCCTATTTAGATGAAATAACTCAACATGCAGCAAATCAAACATTGGCGGCGTCCGTCACAGGCGAGACCGCACGACCCAGTGCTGACCTCCGAGGACGAAGCCTTCTTACGAAATATCGTGTCTGAGCCTACAAGCGAAGCGCCTAATTCTTCTGCCGGCGCAGTTGGTGATAACCGCTCGCCTGTCAGTCCCATTGCGACTGATGCGCCTGAGACCCTCTGGTCACCGGTGTCGCCCTTGGAAGAGTTCAGAGAGCTGGGTGAAGAAGCAAGGAAGGCTCGAGAGAAGGAGGAACAAGGGAATGGTCCTGATCCCCAAAGACAGAGCTCTAAGGATGGAAGCTCTTCACAGGCAGAGGAGAAGAAGAAGAAAACGTGGAGCAGCTGGCTACGAAGGAAGACCACTGTGAAGAAGGTAAGCTCGTTCTCAGTGCCTATTTTATTAGTTTTCGCCCTTGTCTATAGCTATTCATTCTGACATTCGATGATAATAGGACAAACAACCTGTAAAGACTGAAGTGTCGGGCGACGCGCAGATCAACCCACCCGTCAATTCCAAGGACGAAAATGACGCAAGGCAGGAGACAGAGGATATGACGGAGATCCTGGAAAGGCTGAACCTTGCAGCAGACAATAACCGTGTTTTCTCGGTCAGTGAAGAGATGCAAGAACTTCTGCGCAAGTTCAAGTTGATCTTCAAGGACTTGATAAACGGGGTCCCGACTGCTTATCATGATCTCGAAATGCTCCTTACCAACGGCAACACGCAATTGCAAGGTGCATATTCTAAGCTCCCGGGGCCTATACAGAAGCTCATCGAAAAGCTTCCAGAGCGCTGGACGGAAACTTTGGCGCCTGAGATGATCGCTGTAGCAAGTGAAAGGGCTGCAAAGAGCGGCGTTAATATAGACAACATTGGCAAGGCAGCCGCAGCTGCCAATAAGATGGGTATTAAGGTTCCCAGTCTGAAAGAACTGGTTGGGAAGCCGGCAGCTATTGTCGGCATGCTACGATCAATCATTGCGTTCTTGCGAGCTCGATTCCCTGCTGTGCTGGGCATGAATGTGCTTTGGTCATTGGCTCTATCTAGTAAGTGTGATTGACAGACCTTACCCTCAGTCTGCAATTATTTGACGAAACAGGCTGACAGCTGCGTCACACAGTTCTTTTGTTCGTTCTTTGGTACTGCCATAAACGTGGTCGCGAAGTCCGCCTCGAGAACGAACGTCTCGTCACGGAGGAGGAGATAGAAAAGCTGAACGAGCAATCTTCATCTGACGAAAGAATTCGAACAACCGAGACTCTCACTACAACGGCCCCGCAAGGTGCTTCGGCAGCTGAGATCCGGGAGGGCGTGAAAGATGCCCAACAATCTCGTGAGAGAGCTATTGCTGCGGCCGAAAGTGCACAACCGGAGAAGAACGAAGCGAAGGACAATATGTCCAAGCCGACGAGATCAAAGTCAATTTTAGCCATTTGGGGCAGATCAGGCCAAAAGCCAGAACCAGCTACGAAAATTCAGCCATATCCGGGAACGTGATTATCTTGTTTTGTTTCACCATTTGTTTCGAGTTTGATGTTTCCTATTTGCTGGTTTCGTGTCTGTGCTGGCAACTTGGGGTTATGTTTCGATACCACTAATTACTTCACGAAGCTTTTATGGTCATGATTACAGGATAGCGATACAGAAACGGGCCTCTCATTTCTTAGTATTAAGGATTTAGTTTATGCAGATGATGATGATGATTCCATTTTAAAAATACGAGCAATATGACATTGTTGTCTTCTTCGGCCAGTCAGGTAGCATCGGTGTACGATGAGTAATCGCTCTCGGGGCAAAGAAAAATGGAAGTAAAAAGTAACAAGCACCGGGGGGGTAGAGAGGACGTCAAATTTGGCCACCTGTTCTATTCAAAGATAGCACCTAATTTCCCTTGAGCCATGGAATGGGATCGGTCCGGCCAGAAATTGCGGATTTGCGGTCCCGAGTGGCAATTCAACGGGTTCCATGAGGCTTCCTGGAAGGTCGGCATCAATCCGGCCCATCCTCGCCTGCCGGAATTTTCTGGAAGATCGGCTCTGCACTAACTGGACTCAATTTACTCCGTACAGACACCCGCGACAGTCTGCACATATGAAGCACATGAGGCAAGACGCTTTGAAGTTACTGCGAAATTTTACTCTCGTGCTTCGTACTAACGTGGTGCATTGTATTGTATTTTTTAAGGCATGGATGCTTCCATAGTATGCTGGAAAATAAATCGACGGGTGCGGGGTGCAGAGAATGAGTATGCATTGGCCAATGGAATCTTCGGGGGTTGCCGATCATGAGTAAGTGATGGGGCCTAATGGAACATTTATGGTTAGTGAAGCCTGGTATCATACCCGAAATTACCGTCTTGATAAAGCTGAGGGCTGCTACTACTTCCTACTTTGGTGCTACTAGGTGAGAAGGACGTACCCGCTGAAGGTTCAATACTTTGAGATAGTATAGTATAACAAGTACTCTACATGCCACATGATACCTGGCTACATTCTGGTAGCTAGTACATTGGATGATGTCTTCTAACCCTTGTGTAGCGTCCCGTGAAAAGCTGGCCGTTTGAAGCATTGTTGTCCGGAAGAGTATCGAACCACCAATTGTGGGGACGGACAACTGTACATTCATCCGGAATATTCTGGGCTAAAAATGCAAGTGATTCCTGGCATCTGTATATAATAGTTTGACGTTACCCAATAGATTCAGGGTTCACGAGCTGCTGTTGCAGCCGGACTCGGATTAATCTCCCAGTTTTATGCCCATGTGTGTATTAATTAGCGTACCCATGTTATAGCCCACTGCCCAGGATTGAGCCATACCGGATAGCGCGCCTGCATGGCCCATTCATCCTGCATATAGATAATCAGTTCCACGATTCGGCAACCATTCCAATGCAGCCAGCTGTCCCCTTACCGCCTCCTTGGCCCAATCAGGCCATGCATCATGCGCACCAGTGTTGACGACAAAGGCAAGGTGAGTATTTTAGGTGAGTAAGTAAGTATGTACCTGTACGACCTAGGTAATAATAGGTATTCATCCTCCATCAAGTAGCTACCTAACTCCTAATCCTTCCTGCTGCCAGGTAATGGGCAGTGTGTCGTGTCATGTCCTGACAGCGGCAACGGCGGGAATTCGCCTCTAATGAACCTCGCTATAGCTTTCCCACCCCTCTCCTTGTCTCGGGTTATTGTCCTATGCTTGCCACTGTGGAGAGAAACTGTTAAAACATGAAGCAAGAAGGACGACAGTCGTCCGATCAGACCAGGAAAAAACAATAAAATAGAATTTGCACATGAATCATTACTTCAGTCGTTGGCGCGGTAGATGGCCGCCGCTAGTGGCGGACCTCGGCCAATCCGAAGCAGGATTGCAGGTAAGGAAACAATACAGACATTTCAATATGGAGGGCCCATTGTAATTCGACTTGTCCTCCGCAGCTTTCCAACGAACCGCGGACAACATTTCATACTGCCACTCGCAGATACATGGTTTGTTATTCGTTCTGACTCATTTATGATGAATCATTTTTCCTCGGGCAAATACAGTTGTGATCTGGAGTTGGATGATGTAGTGTCTGCAGGCTCGTGCAGGAAGCACGGTTCAAAGAAAGCCCCCTGACTTGATGGGGCATGTAAGTATGTCCTTAGCCTGTACATCTTCCTGTCCCATCTTTTGGGCGATGCTTTTTCCGTCGAACGGTTGGTAATTTTACGGAGATTTTGGCGCATCCGTTGGAAGATCGCTTTCTTACATACTTGATATCGCATTCCGCATGACCCCTCATTGGAGAGAGGAGGCTCAGAAGAGATCTACATTCCTCTCACCGACAGGGCTATTGGTAGTTCGTGTGTGAGTTTCCCGTATTGGGATGTGGAATGGCTTCGAAGGAAGATAGACGTACGTATGTCGGAAATGTAGGAGATTTAAAATTGCTGTCACGGTCCATCGGAAGAAGAAATATGCCTCGTGAATGAGGCACCCTGTTTCCCTTTTCGCTTGTCTGACCATGCGATTATTTACGCCGCAAGGGAATTTTTCATTTGTAGACCAAAAGAGCGGGCCAAGCGTCCTGTATCTCTGACATGGCAAACGCAAAACTGAGTGAGAGTTGTTATTAAT